ACACACACACACACACACACACACACACACACACACACACACACACACACACACACACACACACACACACACACACACACACACACACACACACAAGATAGATATACACCATCATGCATTCACGCGCACATGAGTATCATTCCATTCCGAACCTAAACACAGCTCAACAGCAGCGCAAAACAAGCTACCGTCCCGCCATCCGTAGTCCACAGTCCAGCAAGTACGAATATCCGACTTCAAACGTCCGAAACCATCCGATCCGATGCGATCCCCGACCCGAACCGAGACCTCAAATCTAAGCCCTCCTACATAATACAATCCCCACGAGCAAACACTCTGAATATAGGCATAAAGCCGATGCGATGTGCTGCTGATATAATGTGCTTGTGAACATGCCGTGAATATGCCTGTGTATGATACGATCCAGCCAACCAACCAAAACCCCCCTCACACAGCAGTCTCCGTCTTGACAACAACCGGCGCGGCCGCCTGTGCAGATGTGCCGTTTGCGAGGCCGCCTGCTTGCTCTTCCTGCACCAGGACATGCGGGCGCCACTTCTGCAGCACTTTAGCGGCGCGGGCCTTTGCGCCTTCGTAGTTGCGGTATAAGTCCTCGATTGCGTCGATGCAGAGGTCGCGTACGGGCGGTCTGGTGATGATGCAGTATCTGTGATTTTACCAAAAGTCAGTCGCGGAACGAGGATTTGGTGAAATGTAGGGTAATAAGGAGAGAAAAAGAGAGAGAGAGGAGAGAGGAAAACGTACAGCAGTGAAGTCACAACCATGTCGACGCGCTCGGGATCTCGGGCCAGGTCTTTGACGGCATCGATGACGTCCTTTTCCAGCCCGGGGATCTCGCCCATGAAGCGGATGAGCACGTTCTTGTCCTTTGCATCCAGATACGGCAGGATGCCGTTGAGCAGCTTCATCGTCCAGGCGCGGTAGTTTCTCGACACCACCCTGCCCTCGTGCTTGTTGATCATGAAGTCGCCGTACCACTCCTCTGTCAGCCAGGCGATGGCGACGTCGATCCGTCGGCGGAAGTCTTCGACAACGTAGTGCCACAGATCGTCGCGGATCGAGTTCGAAATCGCCTCAGGCGTCACGGAGGAGGGCTTCTTTTCTTCGCTTTTCACGGCGTTTGGTGCTGCGCTTATGCCGGCGCTTGCCCTTGTGGCCAGGCGGACGATGATTGTCACCCATGAATTCCGGTCGTAGCTGCTGGCCGCCAGCCTGTTGAAGCCTGCTTTCGGCGCAGTCTGGCGTGTGCTCGGGCTCGTGGAGCTCATCACGCCAAACAGGCGCTTCGCCGTTGCCTTGCACGTTTCAGCAAGCTGTAATTCAGAGAAAGGCTCGGGGGGAGGGAGTTTGAAGGTTCCTAGAGATATAGGAGCCTGGTCTATACCTCTTTCTTCTGTAGTGTCAAGTCTGTTTGCAAGCTGCTCGGCATCCTCGGGCGGCTGGAAGTCGGGCTCGTATTCATCGTCATCTTCAGCCATGGCCTGTTGTTTCGCCGCTTGGGCGGCCATTGCTTGCTGCCGTGACTTGCCCAGCTCTAGATATTTTGTGCGCACCAGGTTCAGTGCATTCTGAAGCATGGTTTCGTCCACTGCTTGTAAGAGCGGAACAGTTATCCGCGCGACGGTGTCTTGAGGGATAGCTGTCACGTCGAAGGATTTGATGATGGGGTCTTTCGTTATGCCGAAAAGCTGCGCATACGTCATGGTCGTCGGGATTGGGGTGATCTCAGGGGGTTTCGTATTTTCTGGAGCCAGCTTCTGTCTCTTGGTCTGGTCCACACCATTAGTGGGCTCGACTGGCGCTGATCGCTTCCGAGTGCTCTCGAAGTACTCTATTCGTGCACGTTGCATCCGCTCAATGTATTGCTGTATTCGTGGGTTCATCGGATTCTCAGGGGATCTGAGACTAGTCAGCGGAAACATCCTGAACATGTAATCTTACACAAGTCATACTTCTTCATCGAGTTCACTAGGAGCGCCCTCGTTGTCTTCTCCACCGATTTGACCACCAGTTTGCTTCTCGACGTCACAGGGCCGCTCACAAGCTTGACCGGATGGAAGTTGAGCACCTGCGTTATTATCTTGTTCGCAATCGATGCCCGACTTCGAATGAGGCTTCCTAAGCTATTCAGTGTTGCAGTCACAAGCAGTGGGTCACTACCAGCCGTCAGCGTCCGTTCTCTCCATGCTATTTGTCCAACAGACCTGATGTCTTCTTGTAGTGTGCCGAGCAACCGGTCAAGGAGACCGGAAGCCTCTGCTTCGAGGTTCGAGGGGATCAATATTGGGTGGTCGCGAGGCACGAGCGCAAGGGAGATTTCGTTCAGGTCAGGCCGCTATATCCAAACGTCAGTCACCGTGGACGCTGGCGAGAGCTTGACTTGATTACGTACCCGGGGATCTTTTATCACGCCAGGCGTCTGTGTCTGAACAACTCGTTGCACGAACTTGATGCAGCATATCCGAACTCCAGGCATCGCGTTGTCCATCCTACGGAGGATGTTTGACTTGATTGCAGCTATTTTTTGCCATGTCGCTTCGTCCGATGGGTTCTTGATCCTGCATTGCACGCACACATATGAGATTCCATACTAAGAGCAGCGTTTTTTGGGGAGAAGTTTCGCTTGCGACAGGAGAATAGCACATGCAGATATGCAAGAAAGACCAGGTATCTACATAAAAAGGAATAATGTTGACAGGACTAGTACTCACGTATGTCTCAAGACGTGCGGATATATGCTGGCCGCAGCCTGAACGGCACCTTTCAGCACATTCGTATCCACGCCTGGGGAGTCCAGGAGCTCTTTGAGCCTATCTAAGACCTGAAGACTGAGTTCACGCTTCTGCTCTGCCCCGAGAATGGGCGACGCAAAAGTTTCCGCAATGAATTCTGCACCCCATCTCTGTAGTTCGATTGCAGCTTGAGGACCGGTGATGGGAATGATGGCAGGGAGGATCTGTGAGTAATAGTTCGGGTCATTGAGCGCAATGGCGCGCGCAGAGTTCAGACTGGTGATGGTCTCGCTCGTCGAGCTGCCGGCAGGATTCATAATGACCAAGTACAGGCGCTAGCCAGTTAAAACTGAGGTTGAGAGATTGTATCAATGGCCGGGTCGTCACGCGCGTAGCTAGACCACGCAAGATGAAGCTGTTCGTGAAGTTTGTAGATACCGACAACACAACCTCATCCTAATCTAATACAGCAGCGAAGTAAAGGAAGAAGGATTAGAATCGAAGCGTAAAGTAAAGCTATGTGATGACGAATGGGCGTTGCCACGAAGTAGAGAAGTTAATGATGAAGTTAATTGTAGCCCGATCCTAAGGCCTGGCCGTTCACGATACGCGTTCGCTGCCAAGCCGGGAATTCTTCGGCATATCACCACGATCTCGAGGTCGCCGATCAAGGCAATTGATGAATGATTGAAGAATAGTCGATCTCTGGCGTCCGACGACATACCACCAGGATGAGGCCCAGTCTACCACTCAGAGTGTCAGTATCCCCTCGCGCTCTTTTCATGTATGACTGACAGCCCTGACCCCCGCTCAAAGGCTTCCCAAATCAAGCTACTATGACAAGCACTACCGGCAGTCTCCCGCGATGATACGGGCGCGACAGACTTATCTGGTGCGCAACATCGTCTCTGGAGTCGGCCTGGGTATCTTTGTCATTGCTGTCTGTATGTGTGCTGACTTGAGCCTCACCGGATGAAGCTGACCAACGGATTATTGCAGATGCGTTCACGATCAAGGCCGTCTCGCAAGATGAATTTAGCGACGTCGTTGTACCTGAAAAGCCCCGGTCAGCGGCAGCTGCACCGCATTCGGAACCACCAAAGTCGATGGGCACTCAGACGGTCGCAAAATGAACAAGAGGAGATGCTCGAGGGATGTTAGTGACGGGGTAAATCGGCAACGTGTACATTATCATGAGACTAAGGAGTCGCATCTACCGGCGCATTGGCATAATCAACACCTTAACAGTTGATAAGGATCAGAACATCCAGAAGGACATATTGTCAAACACACGTACCGCAGTACTAGGTCTTACAGCAGGACTAGTCTATTAAACTTTTATGTCTATGGAAGTAGTAGAAAAGAAACAAGAGTCTGCTGTAATCGAATACAGAGATTCAGCGATCTATAGTCATTTTCGTAGCCGATGGCCTTAACATCTGCAAAGTGTCTTTTTACGTTATGCATTAATAGAACAAGGTTGTGGTGTGAAGCCATGCCTCAGAGTCTCCGCATCTCAAAGTCGTTTGTGTCACTGCGGGCAAATGAGCCATCTTGAGGACTTTGCTCAACCGACGCTCGGGGAAGGGGACTGTACGCGCCGCGGGTGGCATTGCCACTCGTGCTGTGTACTGCAGTTGGACCCACGGTACCAGTCCGCGGATCTAATCGTTCGTGTGGAGGAGAAGCGCCCTCTGGAATGTTCGTCATTCCAGTTTCCTCATCGCGTGCAGCTCTGCTACGACCGAAGAACCTGTTACGGTGGCTCAAGCGAGAGTCGTTGTCCGTCGACACACGAGCTAGATTGCCTGGCCTAGCACCATGCGAGACTGAAGAGGAGCGACCGATATCATGGGAGCCACGCTCATGAGACTCACGAGATGGCGAAAGACTTTGAGGAAGCCTAGATTTCGAGCGATCCTCGTAGACATCGCCGTACATGTCACCGGACGAGACATCCTTCATGCCAAGTGAGAAGTCGACGCGTCTGCCCATCGCCGCAAGGGACTCGCCACGAGGGCGACCAGCTTGTCGCAAGACCGATGCATGGCGATTGAGACCAGCCTGGCCAGTCTGGCTCTGAGTGTCGGAAGGCGGAGCGACAAATGGGGGGTTCTGATCATCAGTGCTGGTATGGTGGTGACCCTGAGGCATATCTGGATTGCCACCGTGTCCCATGCCGGGCGTCGCCATGTGTGGGACATTTTGCAGATAGACCGGGAAGGATTCCTTTTGACCAGGGAAACGCATGCGTGGGCCCTCAATACCACACTCTTGCATGGTGACCATCATCGCACAGATGAACTTGTTGCGGCGCTGAAGACGGAGTAGCTCGTTTTGCCAGTTCGACTTGTAGAAGAAGACGATGTTGAGAGTGAGCGAATGGGCCTCTTTCACCTCTCTCAATTCCGTCAAAATGTTCGACTGATATTCGCGCTTCTCGTTTCGAACGAATTCCAACAGGCGATTCCGGAGAGTCTCGATCTGTTCGAGAGTGGTACCGAATTTGATAACCACGGGTATAGCCTCGGCGAGACCGCCGGAACGACGCTGATTAAGAATGAACAGAGTGTTGAGGTAACTGTTCGGAGCTTGTACGACATGACCCTCCATTTTTTTAAACTCCGTATAGAGTAGAGCGATTTCCTTGACGAAGTAGTCATCTCCCAGACCAGTGGCACCGGTATTTCCATAGATGCTGACACGATCGCCAACGTCAAAGGGGTGTTTGACGAAGACGAAGATGATGGACTGTAAGAATTCCTGTGCCGTGACCGAGAATAGCCACGACAAGGCCAGTACTGCAGAGCCCGCAGAGGTAAGTACACCTGCGGCGGATGTGGATATCAAGGAGATGAAGACCAGAATAGTGATGACAGCGACGAGGAACATGAAGACGTCGTCGAGTTTACTGACAACCGAGTCGAGGTCCTTCAAAGAAGCGGTGATGGACTTGCGCTCGCGGCCAATCTCTACGCAAACAGCCTCTAGCTCCTCCATGGAAATGTCACCGTTCATATCCTTGTCGAACATGGAAAAGGCTGCATCTGCCTCGTCATCGTTCTCAAAGGCGCCTTTGAGGTCGTCCGAGTAGACCGTCTCAGTCTCAGGGCGTGCGAATGTCCGGTAAAGTCGTCTTGCCAAGACTTGACTTCCTCCTGTTGTGCTGAGGAGTGCAAGAACGACCTGATGAGGGTGCGTACTCTTGACCACTTGTTTGCCCGTGAAGTCGCCAGCGATTTTGCCAGCAACATCACCGAATTTTCCTATGGCCTGTTTGGTGGTTTTCTTGGCATCATCAACCAGGCGCCCAGGAGTACGGGCACCGGAAGGAGCATGATTTTCTTCGAATTCCGAATCTTCCATTGCAATCTTCTCCTTGGAGAACTTGTAGAGTTTTGCCAGGCTGCCAATCTGGAACTTGTTGATCTCGATTCTGTCGGCATATGTCCGCAAGTGGAAGCTAATGGCAATCAATTGAATAATGATCTTCTCCACGAAGTTGAGAATGACGCCCACGAATATGGAGACGATGACCTTGTTCATTGTTTTGCGCCAATTGCCGCGTGGCGTGCACCGCGAGTGGCTATCCATGGTCGGCAGAAACGAGACTTCGATGGCAAGCCACCAGAAGAACAAAGTTGCAGGGAGCTCCAATTGCTTTCCCATGTCTCTCCACTTCTTGCCATTGTTGGTGAAAAGGCTGGAGATTAATCCAATGGGCCAGGGCAAGCATTTTGCCACAATCTGTTGTGATGATTAGTTTGTGGGTGTTGGAGGTCGAGTGGTACACTTACTCGTCCTGCCCAGAGGGTAAGCCAAACTATTTCCAACCAAATGCCGAACCACTTGAGTTCGACGCAGCCAACGGTTGCATCGGGAAATAGATAGAAGCCAAACAGGACGGGGATGAGAAGAAGGGCAGCTAAAGGAAGGATGTAGAAGAAGTAGCGAACGATGAAGACTGAGCTATGAATTTTCTTGAAGAGCTTTGAAAGATTCGTGGATGGGTTCTCTGGTGGTTTGTATATGGCAGTGCGTTCGTGTAGTGGGTTGGTGGCAGCATCGAACTCGTCAATTGGATCTTCGCGACGTGAACGAGTCCTACGCACGGATTTTGAATGCTCCCGATCGAGGTCGTTGTCTGCTCTTGAGATCTGCCTTTCGATCTCAAGCATGGCCAGATCATCGCCCAGCCGTTTCTCTTGCTCCCGGTTCTGTGATGGGGAAGCCATGGATGTGAAATCGCCTTCGTAATCGTGCTCGGTTTGTACGGTGAGATGGCTGGCGGCTCTAGCTCGAGCATGGTGAGCAGGGGCAGGATCTAGGTTCGGTCGTGAAGACTCTTCAGTGCCAACGAAGGTTCCGTCATCATCGTCGGACGAGCGACGGCCAGTCAAGTTTTGGTTGTATTGTGGCTCACCACGCTCGTTTATGGGGGTGCTCATGGTGATGAATGACGTCGACGAGGCTTAGTGACAGACGCGAGATTTCGGAGTAAAGCAGGTGCGGCAGTTCGGAGAGAACAGGAGGTATGCCGGCACAAGATTGATGCAGGCGAAGTATGAAGGCAAACAAGCGAAGGGCAGCGTCACGTACGTATGAATGGACGAGACAGAGGAGAAGAATGGAGACGGGCGACGAGAATTAAGGAAACGAAAAGTACAACATGGCAGAGTGCGTGGGGCAAAGACTGATGCTTTTGAATGCTGCGGCACCGTCAATGAATGGAAGAAGAAGATGGAGACACGTCGGACGAAAGAGTAGCACTGAAGCTGCATGGGAGGTGGGTCAACAAGTAACAAGTGAAGCCATGATGGAAGGTCAGTGGCCAATTATAGCGACGGGATTTGCTGGTTCGGGGATTGCGAGCCAATCAGAGACAGGCATCGGCACGAATTCGCCAGAATTCGAGACGAGTAGGGATGATTAGGGGCGATTAGGGGCGATTAGGGAAGATACGCATTGACTGTAATAGCCACAAGGCATCGGCAGTGTGAATATGATACTGACGAGACTGTATTGGCTGGGATCGCACTGCAGCAGACATGGATATTGAAATGCGGTGCCTGCATATAATTAGTGGTGAGAGAGTGCATCATCGCTTGTTGGCAGCAGCCCTGCGCAGACGAGGAGTGAGTGAGGATTGAGGATTGAAAATTGAGGATCGAGGATCGAGGATTGAATGGTGGTGGGCGACGTCGGTGGCGTCTGACGATCGCGCGCAGTCTTCTTCCTCCCTACGTAGCGAATTCCCTAATTAGTATGGTTGGGTAGACTGAGACTGAGATAGCTGCGGCAAAAAGGCCAAGAGCCAAGAGCCAACCTGAGCAAACAGTGAAAAGTCCCACATTCCAATATTTCCTAGATACAGGAATTAATTAGAGCCTTTTGCTGCATTGCTTGACGCGTCAGATCGCAAACGACATTGACGTAATATACAGTATCACTCACTGCTGAACATACGCTTTACATCCGTCCGTCATCTACAACAACCTCAGGCAAATTACAGCGCTTCCGTTGTGGCGTAGATAATCATCCTCACATCGACTACCAGGAATTGACACTCACGTATCGAGTGACGTTATCCACCATACATTCGACTGACTCGTCACTTTTGTCTTCTGAGCGATTGAAATGTCCATTCGGAGAGATCACTGACAAAGGCTCGTCCGTCTGATGCGTCCGTCCTTTGGCGGCTTCGGCTTCGGCTTCACCTCATACAGCCATACTGATCACGTGTACGGTCCCACACAGTTACTTCTAGGAAGTGCTCGAAAAAATGATGGAAAACCACCGAAACACTATTTTTTGGTCATCTTCTGATCTGACGACACTCTCGATTCCTAGCTTGGTGAACAAAGAGAATAGACGAGACCTGCAGCAAAAGGAACATCGACTGATCTACACACCTGCAGCTGTCTCCATGACTATGGACGAGAGAGTATCCACAACACCACCACACATTATCCTTGCTGCATATAAGGCTGCTCGAGCCGCTTAATACTGCATGATGCTGTTGACCCCGGCCATCACATGATGCGACCAACCCGAATCGGAGACGCGTGTACCATGACCACAATGTCTCTATCACGACCATTACGTCGCCGCCTACGGCTTTTGTAAACTGGTAGGATACCCACTTGGCCTTGTATTTCAAAGAGGGGGTTCTCCACTATGCAGCCGCCAGCGCGCCGCTCAGTACCAGACATCGTGCTTGACGGGGTGTCGAACAACACGGTGATGGCTTCGTACCCTATTCACATGCGTATTGATTTTTCGGAGAATATGTCATGGTCAGACTCAGTGGGCAAACCAACTTTCCCTGGTGTCTGCTTCAAACCTTCAACACAAGAATTGTGATTGGCGTATCGGAGCGCTTCCAGCTATGAGCAGTTGACGGTGCCGGAGAGATAGAGAAGCTCTTGCTTTTCATGCCAAGGAAGAGCGTCTAGAGTGAGGACGGGCTTGACCTCGCATTAGATATCGCGCCATCAATCTATCTACATCTGACAGCTGTCGTGGCTATAGGCTCGAACAGATCGTGGGACCTGGTCGGAACTTGAAAGAGGGGAACAACGGATGCAGTCGATTCCGCCAACTTTGGATCGTTGTACTAGGTCTTTGACTCTTTGTCTACATCGGACCGTATGCTGGGACGTTGTCCTACCTTTCTTCTGCAAGACTCTGACTCCCTTCGCTACACGTCCCGAAAAAAAACTTCAGATCATCACTTCCACCATGGTCTGCAAGGTACGCGAATCCTCGCTTGCAGTTCCATCTGCAGCCTTACTCATATTAATTATCCTTGGGCAGCTTAATTAAACAAAGAACCAGTCAACCAACCCTGTGGAGATCTGTTGATCCTACGCGAAAGGGTGGTCAACGAACGGCAAAGTCTAGATCGAAGAGGCTCTGATAGGTGAGGGTCCGGCCGACGCCCAGACAGCCACTGTGGCTTGCCCCTCATGCAGCACTCAACACCATTGGTCTCTCACGCCCTTTACAGCGCCCACGATACCTCATGCAGATTGTGCCTCGGACAAGCCGGCCGCCCGTGGCTTTGGTGACACGGCATTCGTAAACTGGGATTACCAGCCCTGTGGCTGCGTGGCTAGAGAGTAGCGGTGCCGTTTTCGTGTCACTGATTCGATGTCAGGGCCGAGATGGGATGGCTCGAGACATCTGGCGCTGCTGTGCGCGTGCGATAGGGTCGAGGGAAAGCCACGAGGCCAGACGTCCTTGTTAAGCTGCAGGAGTCTGGAGGGTTTGACTGTCTGTTTGCGCGCTCATCTAGATGGTGTCCGCCTCGGAGGATCAATACAGCAGGTCCAATGTCGGATTGTGCGCCGAGCTGAAGTCTTTAGCTCCAACATCTCCGCTTCTGGACCATGGTTGCGACAAATTAGACACCTATATAGGGCAGAGCTCGTCCACGGCCGGAAAGGGTGGAGGCAAGTGTACCAGCAATCGCAAACCACACCATTGCAGGCTATCGCAGGCTATCACTCTTCTTATCAGAACCACTGATCTGCTTTGGTACATAAAGTCGTGCATCCGTCGGATATTAATGAGAGGCGGATTTCGATTCGTGCACTCATAACACAGCAACGAAGAGTTGCCCTGGTTGCCAACTTCAAAGTCCCGGGCCGTGGGCTTCGACAACCATTAATATCACTCTTACGTCCGCGTCAAAGACTACTCCTTAGTACCGTCAAAGTCACCTGCGAGGACTCCATCAGCAGGTCGACCACGAGTCAAGACGCGAAACTTTAGCAGACCGTCAACACCAACGCACTCGGAGCATATCTCCTCAGGACATTCCCAAAAGTAAACACTACCTCGCAAACGCACAACACTATCAACATCATCATCACCATGAACTCCGCACACTACACCGGGCCCGCCCACCACACATACATCAGCAACCGCTTCCGCCGCTTCAACAACGCCATGTTCGTCCAACAAGCCGCCTCGCCCCCGGACACCCGTCCTCCATCCCGCGACTCCTCTGCCCGCGCCGAATCCGACGACGCCGTCGCCGCCCTCCACCGGTTCTCAACCGTCTCCTCCTCCTCCCGCCTCTCCAGACGCTCCTCCATCCGCGCCTCCTGGTCCTCCTTCCGCAGCTCCCTCAAACCCACCCCTTCATCCCCACGCGTCCCCAAACAAACACACATCGTCGAGCCCCGGCCCGCACCCCAACGGCCCCGCCGCGCCCCCTCGCCCTCCTCCGTCTACTCGCGCGCCAGCACAAACTCCTCGGTCAAATTCCTCGCCGTGCCCGTCTCTCCCACCACGCCCTTGCCGCTGCAGCGCACCAGCGTGCCCAGCACCGCCTACGTCGAGCTGCCGACTGATGACCCAGACGCCGACCTTCCTCGCGTCGTAAGGAGCAGTGCGGGCCCCCGCGCTCGCAGCGACGTCATGAGCATGTACGAGGTTGCTGAGGCCGGGTACTGGGCGCGCAAGGACGAGGTGACGGCGTTGCAGCGGAGGCGGCGCGGCGTGAGCAGCGTGGGCAGTCTGGGCAGTCTGGGCTCGCGCGGGAGTAGTGCGTATTCGTCTGCGCCGCCGAGTCCGACGTGAGTTGTTGTTTTCGTTGTGGGATGCGACTTTTTGGGATGGTCACCTTGGGGGGGAAGGCCACCTCGGTCGACTGGACTAAAGCTACAGGCTCGGAGGAAAAAGGCCAAATGGGGTGGAGGATGTGCGGGATACCCAGACAGACGGACGGATGGACAGATGGACAGACATTCATTTTAGCCATTTATTCACTTTACTTATTTACTGATCAACCCATCTGCTCATTTATTCACATATGTATGTACGTATTCCACGCATCCCATGTATACTCATGTATTTATATAGTCACAACGACATATATCAAACGCCATAAACAGCGTTCATCCTCTCTTTTGTCATTTTCGCTAGCATTTTTTCTTAACAAAAATTTTGGGTGTTTCGCTTGAGTGTGTTGGATATAATGGGATATGGACACGGATTATGAATGCTCGGCATGGGTTTTGAGTGGTCCGTAGGTCGGCCAGTCGGTCGGTCCGCAGGTCAGTTATGTCATGATTGATAAAATTATTATTTGTTTATCATAAATTTCTGGGAATGCCGGGGGTTAGTACTTACTATATTATTGTATGGACTTGGATGTTACGAGGACTGTTCTTCTCCTTCTTTACTTACTCTTTTTTACTATCTTAAAAATAATATATCTTCTATATCTTCTATAATCTCCTATGACAAAAGAAATTACCCGTACGAGTCGCTCGCTGAAGGGTGTGTGGAATGGGATATTTATATATATATATATATAGAGGAGACGTAGAAGAGAAACGTAGCGCGGGATAGAAAGTTAAAAGAGACGTGGTTACTATACTTGCAGGGAGTGGTGGACTAGACTAGACGGACTGGGTGTGCTGGACTAGACTGGGTGTATGTATGTATGTATGTATGTATGTATGTATGTATGTATGTATGTATGTATGTATGTATGTATGTATGTATGTATGTATGTATGTATGTATGT